TTGATTGGACTATTCGTACATCAGTTCACCAAAAAATACATCGTTTACTTCGCTATCATTTCTTGAAATTACTGTTTATTCAAGATATTTGATAGCATTTACCAAACTATTGAATGGCATATAATTTTTGAGTACATGTTTTGCCAATTCCTGATAAATATTGCTTTAATTTTAAAGTTGATTACATTTTTTTGGTAATTATCGTCAAACATCTCTCAATTTGACGGCACCTCTCAATAGCAATATTTATATACTTTTACACATATTTATTATTCTATACTCGTCTCTAAGAATCGTATGTTTTATAATGATTTGCAAAATTTGATAAAAATTCTTACTATTATTTCAAACTTACAGTAATTATTGGACAATACTGTACTTTAAATTAATCAGGCCTTTAAGCAAATTAAGTGTAAAGGTTTAATAAGTGGAAATATTTGAAAGCATTATAAGTTTTAACTTACAAATAATTATTATAAATATGAAGCAAATCTCAAAACATTCAAACATTAATATTTTTAAAATTAGAATTAATTAAACATTTTATACAGTAGTCAAATACATTTCTTATCGATACATAAGCTTAAAATTGACAATTAATTGCAAACTTTTAAAAGCACTTGAATTAGAAAAATAATTTGGATTATTAAAAGTTGTGGTAAATTCCTATCACAAAATGTGAACACTTTGTTATAATTTTACAAAATGAAAATTTATCGAAAATGAATTGACAAAAAATTCATTTGGGAAGTAGTGTTCAAATGATTAGCATTTCATTAGATGTATGTAATAAAGAAATTCATAAATTAATGTCTATTTAATTAACTATTTATACAACTAATTGGATAAAGTTATTGCCGAGAGTGACAACACATTAGTGGCCAAAAGTATAGCAAAGCGGACACAATGTCTACAAAACACGAATTGATTGAAATGAGTCGTAAACTCGAAGCAATCGTTTCTAACGACAAGAAGGAAAAGTCAACTCAAGTTTTGGAAATACTAAATCTCCTAAAAGTCCTTAAAGTAGATCCATATTTGATCCGAAATGCAAAGATAATTTTGACGATAAATAATTTGCGAAAAAGAATGACTGACGAGGAAGTGGTGAAAACATCCAAAGATCTGCTCATGTCGTGGAAGAGGTCAGTAATTATTGAAAACAATGCGCTTAAGAATTTTATGATCAATGGTTCCCGCATTAGACACGAAAAGAATGCCCAAACCGTTCGTAGAATTAAAGCTAAGCATAAAATGGATTCAATTTTAAGATATGGGATCAGAGATGAAACTCGTCTTAAAAGCCGAGAACTTTTGCTCAAATCTTTGCTCCCAAATAACGAAGAACTCAAAGACGACATCTTTCGAGTCGTGAAACTCGCCGTTGAGATCGAGAAACATATTTTCCAAGAGTTTCAAAATACGGATAACAAGTATAAGACTCGCGTCAGGAGTCGTATCGCGAATCTAAGCGATGAACAAAACGCGAGCTTAAGATATCGCGTACTGAAGGGAACCGTAACCGTAAAGGAAATCGCGACTATGAGTGCCGAAGATATGGCCAGCGATCGTATGAAACAAATGAGACAACAATTCCACGACGAGGCCATTGCGGCCAACCTTTTGCCCGAAGTGTTTGGCACGACATGCGATCTTCTCAAGTGTCCCAAATGTAAGAGCAATACCTGTACTTACAGTCAGGTGCAGATCGAAAGGGCAGACGAACCCATGACTACTCTTTGTCTTTGCATCACTTGTGGCTATCGCTGGAGATATGACTGAAACTACTATTTCGTATATTCAATGTTCAATTCTGTTACAAAACACACCTTTTCTATTCAATATTCATTCTTCTATTCAATCTTCTCTTACATTATGTTATGTTTTTTTAACCGTAAATTCAATTTAAATTATAATTTTTAACCACAATTTGTACAAAATATGCAATGTTTTAGCGTTTGTTTTATATTAATATTTTATTACTTTTTTATCTAAACATATATATTGTATACAACTTATTGTATATAACGTACAACAATAATACGTGAATAAGCAAT